CCATCACCCCTTCCTCCCCCCTTCCCTCCTCCCTCCATTCCCTCCCTCCTCTGTCTCCCTCGCATGGGGCTGGATCTTCCAGACTGAACAGTGAAGCCTGGAAACGTCTGTCTTCCTGCTTCTCTAGTACTCGGCTCTGTCTTCACCCTGCCCGCAGAAGCCCTTTTCCCACGAGGGGCCCCCCTCTTCCCAGGCACGTGGCTTTCTATCGGGGGACGTGGTTCATCTTTGCTCTCACAGGCTTGTGGACTTGTTTCCGGGAGACTCACAAGACCCTCGGTCATTCCACAGCCCACTGACTGCCCACAGTTTCACATTTTGACCTGCAGGATCTCAGCTCCTACTGAATTTCCCAAGGCCATCCATTGGGTCGGTGCCCCATTCTTAGGGACACCCAGAGCAAGTCCCCTTTTCCTGACTCCCTCTTTGGCTCCCGCCTGTCCTCCCAGAACCACACACTTTCTCCCCCTCACCTGAGGAGGGAAGCTCCGACTTACAGGACTTGCATGTTGGGCTGTGGAAGCAAAGATGAGAGAGAAAAGCATAAAGGGTGCAAGATTTAGCAGGATGATCGCTTAGAAAGTTATATGTCTAATTAATTTTTTTAAAAAGAGGCTCAATAGCCACAGGCTTTATGTGAAACTCTGGGCAGGCCCGGGGCCCTCCTGCTCCCGCCCCTCTCCCCTCTCTCCCACGGCTGCCAGACCTCTCAGACCTGGAGTCCGCCTTCCTGCACTTCACCTTCTTGCCTGTTAGGAGAGAGACAGACAGAACTAGAAGACAGGACCTAAGGGTCTGGTCCAAAGCCAGCAGGGGAACTCTCTCGGGGCCTGGGGCCTGACCGGAGGCGGCCCCCTTTGAAGGTGTCAGGAAAGGGTCACACTTACTGATGATGATGATGATGCCCAGCAGGAACAATATGGTAGCCAGAGTCATGCCCACCGTCTGCACGGTGTCATAGTCTGGGGAAGATAAGGGGGGACATCAAGGTGGGGGTGGCACCTCAGCCCCCAGGCCTGGCTTCAGATTGCCCAGCCAAGGGCCCAAATTCAGGGATGCTGCAGGCTGTCCTGGAGGCTCCTCCAGTGAATTAGTGTGAGGTTGAGGAACATAGCTCCCCTTGTCCTCTCTCTCCCTACCCTCCTCTGGAGTCTGTGGGTATATACGTGTATATATATGACCTCCTTCCACTGCCTCCTCCCTGGTCCTGTCCACCATTGTCACCCGTCTGGACTACTGCAGCAAGCAATCTTCTCTATGGTTTCCAGCCCCATGCCCCTTCCCCCA